GATTACCCGTTAACGATAAATCGTTTCGTTGCGGGGATCGAAGCCAAATAAAACGAACTAAGTGCAGAATTTTCGGTATTCACGATTTTCGGTGTATCACGATATTCGAACCGCGGCGAGCAAGCTGATCGAACAAGGAGCGCGCTATCATCGAGCGAGAGATCTGCTGCTGCATCATTCGGAGCCCGACGATGACTGTACTTAGACTGCGCACTTAGGCATTATGCGAAATAAAAATATCTTCAATGAGACCGACTGGACAAATAAAACCAAACAAATATTTTCTGTCTCGGTTAGCTTAATTCGTGTAAATTCTCGTTAAATTCTTGAAAAGCTTTTACGGTCTCGCGTTTCTCGTACTCGTGTGTTCGTCGTAACAACGTAAAATCCGCGGTGCTATAACGCAACGCGTGCCATCTTCGTGGTACACCGGTTTACGCGTACACTTTGCTCCGTTTCTCGGCAACGCGCTTTTATTTTCCGTTTCCTTGGAAATAGACGCAGGGCATTGGCGCGCGCGCTCGCGATCACACCGCAAAAAAGTGCCGATCGGCGCGCTATCGAGCCGCATGACCGGTGCAATAACAGTGATTAAGCTTTATCGTTGCCGTTCCGACGGTCTATTTATCTGTCGGCCGCGAAATTGCGCGCTGTAAAGACATAATAGGACACGCGGACCAATATTGTCGTTTGCCCGCCGATCTCCTCGAACCGGCCCCGCGTGCAAAAACTACCGGTTATTAATCGGGAGCTCCGCACTTTTGCGTGTTCTAGCGGACGTACGACTTCATTTGCGGTTGACGGATCTCTTGCCGAGGCTAATTCCACATTTGTCGTCGAACAGTTCGCTCCTCGTCAACTCTATTCCCCGGCAACTGATAGAAACTATTTTATACGAACCACGAATAAATCACGTTATTGGAGCAAGTTTTACGACAAAAAGTTTGCAAAATCTAAATAATTTCGATCTTCTCGCTTTTATGATGCAACGCGCGCCCGTTATTATCACTGCTTGCTAGGTTTAGTGTTAATCACTAGATTGTTAATTAAGAGCTAACTTAAACCTCGCAAACAGCGACAATAACGGGCGCGCGTTGCATCATAAAAGCGAGGAGATCGAAATTATTTAGATTTTGCTAGGTTTAGACTCTTGCTAGGTTTAGTGTTAATCACTAGATTATTAATTAAGTTAGTTAGACTGTTAATCTCTAGAGTGTTAATCTTTAGTTAGTCTTTATGCAAAATAAAAATGTTCCCTGACGATTGTAGGCAATAGAATTTCAATCTGAATAAACTGCTTCTATTAATAATTTTGATAAATTGAAAATAGTGTACCGATATTGTTCAATTCTTCCGATATCTTCACAACTTTATACGGCAGCGTTTCACTTTCGCCATAAACGCACGAAATCCGCAGTCTGTTAATTACCAGATCGTAGATCTTTATGCAAAATACAAATTTTTCGTTGCAGCAAGCAGGAATCGCTTCGGCATTTCTTTCTTCAACAATACTACTCTTTAATTGTTTTTGTTAGAAGTAATCGTAAATCGTGTCTTTTCTTACGTAACATATACCGATAAATTAAAAGCCGATCTCTGAATATCGATTTTGTTTTCAAATTAAAATCAAGATCGCGAACGACAATGTCCGACGATTAAGCACCAACACCAATCAACACTTTTAATGTAAAAATTGCTTCGCGATACGCAATCTCGCAACAAATGCATAGAATCCGCGGTCTATTCGTTACAAACCGAACGACGCTGTCAAGAAAGTGTGCACATTTTCTCGAACAGGCTATCGCTCGCACATAAATTGAGGCCTTTATTTCGCGCCTCGTGTACCCGGCGAAAGAGGTCCTAATCTCCACGGGCCCGGCGAACACGGCACCGACAATTTTCGACGAAGTTAAAACGGCCGGAAAGCAGCTGAGAAATCGGTGGCATTACGCGTCTCGTCGCGGCGGGACTATTAAAATACAATGGGGTTGCTCGGGGCTCGAGCCAGTTGCATTATCCGAATTTTTCGCCGACACAATAAGCGGTGTAGAGCAATAATTTTCGCGGGAACACGCATCCGCGGAACGCCGAGGTGCTGAAAGCCGACGAGAGGCCGCCGGAGACTCCGGCTCGCCGGCTCTCGGTTTCGCCGCGGCGCGGCGACGAAACAGAAACACCGATCTAATAGGGCGCAATTATTTACCGATGGTTTGCATAAGAATACGACAACTGAATGACCTATAGGAAATTGTTGTCCCTCGGCACAAAAGCCGAGAAATAGTTAGTCGCGTATCCCGCGACCGTTGATTTATGGGGCGGAGGGACCCGGGACCCGCTTATTCCTCCGAGCCGCTTAACAATTGTTTCCTGACAATGAGCGTATATCAGATATGAGTGACACGACGAAACGTTTTCTACCATACATCAAGCCGGCACTCGGCCCGGCGACCAGAGTAATTACACGTTTCCCCGTGTCGTTTGAAAGGAGCATCCATCTACGCGCGAAACCGGGAAACAATTCGCGAGGAGCGAGATAAATCTTCGATCCGGGCTGGGAAATGCTGTGGATCTACGCTCTGACAAATCGGGATCGGGACTGCTAAGGCGGCTCGGGTCACCTTAAACGTATTTCCGACGGTTTTCTAATGCTAATGCAGCCTGCGCTCTGCGATTCTTACGCGGTCGTTCGTTTCGTTTCGAGCGATGATTCAGAATTTCGGTAATCGTTATTTTGGTAGCCGATGATCTAATTTTCCGTCTCGACCACGACTTAAGCGATTATAACGTTGCAAACCTTGTAATTATGTCGATTTTTTTCTTCTTAGAGATGTTAATCCTTTGCACTCGAAGCCAAAATAACGCAGAATTTCAAACAGCTTTTCTGACCCACGGTATTTCCATTTTATAGAACTTAGTGCATTTTATACGTGTTAAATTGAATTTTCTGACTCGTGAAACAGTTACGGCTTTAACGGTTCTTCAGATATGAACAAATTCGATCGACAAAATTATCTTGAAACGCGACGTAACGATTTTTAATGGCGCCTCGGAGTCGCCGCTCGAGCGCAAAAGATTAAAACAGTTTCAGCATATTTTCAAGGAAAGATTTTAGCAGGAAGATATACAAAGAAATATTTCACAATCTGTACGATCACCTAATGAACATTTATTTGTAGAGCAAGAGAAAAGAAATACAATTTCTCTACGAAATTCATGAAAGTTTATACAAATGTTCTAACATCGAGCATACTAATTTTCGTTTTATTTATACAGTTTCCTCGAAGGCAATTACCACGGCGCAACGAGCGCCGTCGCTTTTCGGCAATTATGCTAAATAAAATCGAGGCTGAATTTTATCACGACGATGTAAAAGTCGAAACTGGCAACGAAATTTTCTTTCTAAGGTAAGATTAAAATATTGAGCTTGTCTCGTGAGTGAATCCGACCGGATCGTCCGGTCAGCCTGACATCTCAAAAAAATTCAAACGATCCGGTCGCGTTTTGGAAACAGTTGTAACGTTTTAAAAGGTGTCCGAATATTAGCAAGAGCCACCGTACGTGTCTCCGCTAGGTTTCGTGTAAGTTTTACATACGTCTTAATTAGTCGCGCGCATAATGAAACGGAAGGAGCGGGCCGCGGAGAATTTCATTTCCCCCGGATGAATTATTAATAGCGGCAATTAAAATCGGCGTGTTCGATCGTGGACGTGGATCGGCCGGGGCCCGATGGCCAGGCGAGTTTTATTTATGCCCGCGATATCGTCACGAGCGTACCCGGCGAGTTGTGGGGTAATTAGCCGGGCGGCTTGCGCGGGGAGGGGAAAAAAATCGATCAGTCGATGGCACGAAATAAAATGGTCGGGATCGTGACGGGGCCGTTGCTAAACAACAACCGGGATTTGCTTGCATAATAAAGAGAGAAACCGTTTCTCCCATGAGATTATTTTCTGGCCCGTCGATGAAGTTCCAACGGGGCGAGCGACTCGCCTCGACGGACTTTACGGTGTCTAATGAGCGGCACCGTTATCAAACGATTGTTTCGCGCCCCCGCCCTCGCGAAAATCGAGCGCGCGGGAACGAATCGAACGGGAACCATTCGGCGTGTTCCATGGAAACCCGTGTTGATTACACTCGACCGACCTTTCGCGGGGCCCGGCCGGCTGCAATTATTTCGCGCCCGATGGGAATTTATTTCGGAACTAGCCGACCGGTCGCCATATTTCTTTTTCGTACGCGGTTGCGTAACGAACACCGTGGGACTATTCCAGCAACGGCTAGACACTTTCGTACTAATTGCTCGGCTCGGTTAACGGGCCGATACTTTATGGCTTTTAGGCGGGTAATTGCAAAAGTTTTCGAACGGATCGGCCGTTTGCTTTGCGCTGCGCGCGTGATAGAGACACGCGGGCACTTTCGTCGTGAACGTGGAAACAGTTCCGATGATTTTGTTTGCTGCTTATCCGTATTCGATTCGGAGCGATCGATTATCTCGAACAATTTTGGGCAATCGAGTGGACAGTCGATTCGGATGAAACTTTTGCAGGTTACCGAGTTTATGTATCATTGACGCAAACGAAGAGATACTGCACTAGAATTCCTGGTATTTTTCGTGCACCGTTCGGGAAATTTCAGCGTTCACATTTTCCGATTGAAAGTGGATTTTAACTCTCTGAAAACCGATGTTACAGTGACTTACAAGATTCGATAAGTAAATCGTCGCTTCGTCGATCTTACTCAAACGGAAAATATGTGATTAACAGACGAAACTGTGCAACTAGATTCCCTCAATTCCGGCCAAAAGACATAAAACTCGCGAAGAGCGAAGCTGCGACTTCAAATTTACGCAGTTCCTTATTATTCTAAATAAAAATCTCTCCAAAGAAACGCTCAGTCTCTGTGCAGAAGATTCGCCTAGCAACAGCTATAATACGAAGCATGTTTTCAGCTAAAATCGCCCCGAAGAGTGCACTGGGATAATTGATACGTGGATCAAAACTTACCAGAAGAAGGTCGATCCGAGTATCTGGTGCAGTAGACCCAAGCCGGCCAGGGCAACTGCTTGCCAGGTTCGGTCACAGGTGGTCCAGGCGTGTTCGAAGCGGGATTCGTAGTGACACTGCCCGGCGAAGTGTTGGTCGTCGAGCTCGTCTCCGAGCTGCTCTTCTCCGAGGTCTCGGAGGACGACTCGAGAAAGTCCTTGGTCAGATCGATGGGCCTCGAGGAGACCTTCTTCGGCCGGGACTTTTTCAGGGAGATCGGATCGGTGATCCTCCTGCCGAAGTCCGCCTTCAGGATATTGTCTATACTGAACTTCAAGCCGGCCTGATGCTGCAGATTGTTGTTGTTGTTGTGGTTGTTGTGATGATTGGTGTTATTGATGCCGTTGTTCTGCACACCGTTGCTGCCCGCCACGGTTCTCCCGTTCTCCTCCCGAATTCCCGGCGAGACCGGGCTTCCAGGGTCTCTTTGGAGGATCTTGTTGACGGAGAGTCGATGCTGGTGCACGGAGTTCGCCGGGATGTGCTGCACCTGGGAGGTCTGGTGCAGATGAACGTGGCTGTTGGCGTGGTGCAGATGCGGTCCCGGATGAGGCATCAGAGAAGCGGTTTCCCTGGGGTCTCGACAGGCCGCTGGATGGAGGACAGGGGTGGTGGCTTGGAGGCCGGTGACCGTCATCGCCGACGGCGGCGACAGGGACAGTCTGGTGACCAGAGGGACGCTGATCGGCGTTCTGTGGAGCCTCTCGACGGTCGGGTAGATGATCTCGTGGCCCAGGCTGTGCTGCACCCGCGTCGGATAGTCCGGGATCTCCGCGTCCCTGGAGGAGTACCGGGGCAGCAAGTGCTGCGGGTGGCTGGACTGGTACCTGGGGACTATCACGTCCTGGATCGCCTCCGGACGGCCCGGCGACGAGGCCGTGGCCGAGGAGGAGGCCGGCGACCTGACCGAGGAGGCCGTGGGCGACGAAGGCGGCTGACTGTAGCCCGGCGGACTCGGCGCCGGGACGTGGTTAGTCGTTCGTTGATAAAACGCATCGTTGCAGCTCGCCGAGCTCGAAGGCGATGGTGTCGCCGATGTCCTCGTGTTCTCCTCGTCGCGAAAGTCGCCGCCGCGGCTGCTGGCCGACTCCTGGTCGTACCTGACCGAGCCGCAGCCGCGGATTCCGACGACGCTCGTGGGCGTCGGTTCGCTACCGACGCTCAACACCTCGCTCGTGTCGCTTTCGCAATCGCTGTCGGGATTGTTGCCGTCGCCGGGCCGCAACTGCTCCCGTTTCCCCGAGTCCTGGGACTCCAGCCTGCCGGCCAGGTGATTCTGCCGGATCTCGTGTAGCTCCGACGACTCCAGCCCCGTCGAAGCCTCCGGGGGCGTGTTCGACATTGTTTCCTTCGTGGTTCCCAGGGCTCGCGCGACGATTCTTCGAACTGCACAGAGAGGATCGCGACACGACAGCTAGGCCATGCTAGTCGCCATGCCGCTTCATGCCGGCGTTCGGCGGTCCTCGATGTCGTTTCGCGGCTCGGTCTCTCCGCTCTAGTCTACCTCGCGGATTCCGTGCGCTCGAAGCTACCTGGGCCGACGATCATCCTGGGACAGGACTCCTGACCGGAGAACTGTTCGCGAACGTTCTCGTTTCTCGACGCACTCTTTCCCGCGCGGGAACTTCGCGATCCCCGAGCACTAGATACTCCAGTCCTTTGCCGACGGACACTGTTCAGCCCTGCTCATGACCGTCCGGCACAACGGGCCCCGAGGTGGCTGCGCATCCTCCCCCCGGAAAAAAAAAACAGTCTGGGACACACCGCGGATCGAGAGCTCACCGGTGCCGGCGACTCATTCGTCCGACTGGCACCGCGATTGGCTACGCCCGGTACCGTTCCCACGGTGGTTCTCGGTCATCGCGGGCCCGTCGGACCGCAACGGAGCCCCGACGCGCCCATAATCCATCGCACACTCACTGTCCCCGTGTGTTCTACGCTCTCGGGGGTTCTCGCGGCGAAAGAGAGCCGGCCTGGACACCTAGGTCCTGAGCGGCTGGGCCCCGGTGGCGACGCGCACTAAACTCGGCTGCAAAGCGATCGGGCTCGGAAACCGAGGCAAAGGGACCGGTCGAAGGGTCGGACGAGGCCGCTCGGTAAACGTCAGGGACACGGCGGTCCGGGCGACGATCGGTGGCGAACGTGGAGGTCCTGCACGGCGCTGGTAGACGCGAGTTTCAACGGAACCGTTGTGCGACGCTGTGGATCCAGACCGGGCTGGTTGTCCAGTTGGTTGCCGCGGAGCGTCTGCGGCGAGGAAGCGGCGGGAGGGCCGACGATGGGCGTTCCTGGGCGTCGATTCTACGCCCGGCCCGCCCCCGGCTGACCTTTCCAGGGGTGAAGACCCTGTCTAGGGGCGCGACCACTCGACATCTGCCGGCTGTCTCCGGAACCCCGGCTCCCGTAACGCCCACCAACCCCCGCTCCTCGATCCCAGCCCCTGATAGGCAGTCCGAAACCTGCTATCCCTTCTCCGGCTCCCTTTCTCCGTCCTCCTCCCACTCGAGCGCCCTCCGCCTCCGCCTCCTTCTCCCACCAACGACCGCTGCTCTCGTCGTCCCCACTCCGCCGTTCGCCACCACCGCTCGACCCGTGTTTATATCTCTGCCCTCTCGCTTCAGCCACCTCCTCTCCGTCCCACCTGGCCCACGCTACGTTCTCCGATTTACTTCTGGCTCCTCTATCTGCTCGCCGGTGATCCAGTACGCTGCCCCTGGTTCGCTTGTCCTTTTTAGTCGGACGGTGTTCGTGTTCGTCTTCTTCTTCTTCTTCTTCTTCTGCTTCTTCTTCTTCTTCTCCGTCGCCGTCGTCGTCGTCGTCGTTGTCTTCTTCTTCTCCTCCTGCTTCTTCCCGCTCTCGCACTCGATTTATCCCCACCGCCGGCGTTATCGCGTTGGGTTTCCAGATTGTACAACCCCCACCTCTTCTCTCGCACCCCTCGCCCAGCTCTGTCTCCAGCACGTTCCGCCTGTTCTTTCTGATTCCTCTATCTGCTCTTAGGTGATCCGGCTCTTAGCTCCTGCCACGTTTAGCTTCTACATCGACCCTCGACCCCCCGGCACCCCACTCCGCGACGCTTTACGCCCGACGCACTGTGTGACGGATCGGCAATCTTGCTGGACGAGAGTCATTATTTTGGTAACCGTCCCGAGGCTTTTTCATTTCTACTGACGACTGTGTATGCACCGACTGCCTGAACTCCGGTAAATATACAGTAATGTCTCCCTAATTGACGCTCAGATTGTGCACAAAAATGGACGATTCGGGAAGAGGAGATACGATTATACGAGCTTTGCAGCTCGTTTTTATAGTTGTTGACAATTCGTGTAACTATGAAAATGAATCGAATAATCGTATCTTCTCGTCTCAAATTGTCCATTTTTGTGGACAATCTAAGCGTCAATTAGAGAGACATTACCGTAGTCTTTTCTCGAAGAGCTTGCAGTTTAATCCTAAATCTACCCAGCTCTGAAAGTAACTGCTGTGTGTTGCTTCGTAACGACGAAGAGCAGATAATTCTGTCATCGACATACGGGTAAGTGTTGAAACAAAAATTGGGAAAGCGGCCATTTCGACCAGATCGGTAGCTTTAGTGTTGAAATGTGGTATTTGTCGCGTCGATGCCGAATTTCCTGTTCGACTTATCCTCTAGGTCGTAATCTTTTTTCATCACTTTATCGTGCCTCCGTCTTTGCAAGACTTTGCTATGTTCCTTTACTGTTCTAACCGAGCTGTCTTCGCCCACCTAGCGCCCACCGATTCTTGTCCCTCGCCGGCCGATCGATCCATATCCCGCGATCATTTTCCCGTGCACTGGATAAATCAATCGCGTACCACCGTTGCTCCGTAGCGATCCTATGATCGCCGCTATTACGGTAATACGCCGTTGTAACAATGCCCATTCGGGCACGTTCCGCAGGCCTATCTGGCCAATTTGATCTTTAATAGTGAGTTATAGGGGCCGGGGTTATATGCTCGGAACAATTTGCGTGCATTCTTAATCGGCCGAAAGATTGAAGCAAACTATTTCGAGCCGCGACGAGAAACGTCGCTCTCTCGTACATACTGATTTTGTCGGAGGGCAACGATATCGTACCCATGCTCGTGGGGGCTGTGACGCGCCGGTGAACTTGTAACGTAACCGTTGTTTTTTCTGTTTAGTCGCGTTCGAGCCGCGGAGCGTCGCGCACGTGTTATTTCGTTTCGGGGAGCTTACGCGTGTTATTATTGTTTGTACTTGGATCGCCTCTCTTCGACTTGCGAAGCGTTGCAAGGGTTCTTAGACCGAGGTGAATTTTCAATTCTCGGAAAGGCTCGGCTCGAGCTTCGGCGATCGCTTTTGTAAACATTTTACCGAACGTAGAAAATGACGACGCGTGAAGGGTGGATATAATAACAACACGGTTGCGTGACGTCGAGCTTCGTATCAAATGGGATCGCTATCATGTAGTAGCGAGGAAACGAAAATGGTTTGCAGTGATCCAGGTACAGTAAGTTCTCCCTAATTGACGCTCAGATTGTGCAGAAAAATGGACAATTTGGGAAGAGGAGATACGATTATTCGAGCCTTGCGGCTCGTTTTTATATTTACCGATTGTCAACAACTGTAAAAACGAGCCGCAAGACTCGAATAATTGTATCTTCTCTTCCCAAATTGTCCATTTTTGTGCGCAATATGAGCGTCAATTAGGGAGAATTTACTGTATTACTGTATACAGTAAATGTTCTCCAATTGTCCCTTAGCTTGTTAACAAAAATGGGCAATTTGGGAAGGAGAGATACGAGTATTCGTGCGACGCGCCTGATTTTTATAGTTGTTAACAATCGGCGACTATAAAAAACGAGTCGCGAGGCTCGAATAATTGTACAATAAATTCTCCCTAATTTTCCTTCAGCTTGTAAACAAAAATGGCCAATTTGGGAAGAGGAGATATATTTATTCGCGCAGTGCATCTCGTTTTTATAATTGTTGACAATCGGCGACTAAAAAAGACGAGTCGCGAGGCTCGAATAATTGTACAGTAAATTTTCCCTAACCTTCCATCAGCTTGTAAACAAAAATGGCCAGTTTGGGAAGAGGAGATATATTTATTCGCGCTGTGCATCTCGTTTTTATTATTGTTGACAATCGGCAACTGTAAAAATGAGCCGCGAAGTTCGAATAATCGTACCTCCTCTTCCCAAATTGTTCATTTCTGTTTCCAAACTGAGGGTCACTTAGCGAGAATTTACTATATATATATATCTCCTCTTTCCAAATTATGCATTTATGTTTACAAGCTGCGTGACAATTGGAGAGAGAATTTACTATATCTCGTATTACTATTTCATTGAATCCGCGTTTACCCGCTGAATAATAATCCTTCATTTTTTAATATGTAATCATAATATTTAATAATATTTTTAATTTATATTGTAAGGAACAAAAGAGAGAGAGAGAGAGAGAGAGAGAGAGCCAAACTGTAACATATTTATTCTAGCGAGATCAAGCTGCCGAAAAGAAACAAGTTTATTTGATCCATTTACCTCATCGCTGCGTTCTTGCTGGTTTACACACTCTAGCTCAATTCATAATAGGAGAGAAGATTAACTCGGGAAACGCGTACGTAATCACCGGACGCCATATTGGGACTAGCGACGGCAGCGTCATTTGCGGCGAAGTTAGGCCCTAAATAGACGAGATGCTGGTTCGCCGGGAAGAGGATTTAATCGCCGTCGAAGTCGAAAGAATGTGTTACTTCATTGAAACAGTTGTCGCTTTGAACTAGCCGTTTTTCAGTCGTTCTAGAATTTAGATCCTTCGTGTCTACTGGTAATTGGTTATTCGTGTAATGCTTAGATGTCGACATTGCTGTCGTCGATATTGTCGGCCTCGTAACAGACTGGATAGACCAGAGGAAACTGAACAACGCGCGGTACGTTTTCATTTATATTCAACAATGTTCCCCGACAATTATAAAAGCCGGTTTTTAATTTCTCTTTAACCATTTCAAAATTAATCCTCGCGATAATGTATACCGTGTATATTAAATTCGATAAGGATCAGCAAAGTGTTCGGCATCATATATTTTTATTTCTATATCTTATATTATTAATTTCTGTTTCATTAACCCGAGAAAGATAACCTACGTCGCAGAGGCGCCTGCGAAGACTGTTGATTTTTGTTAATTTTTCATAGAGGTCTAGTGATTTAAGTTTAAAATTACTTAAAATATAAAAAAATATAATATAAATGCATTTTATTTTTACAATAATGCCAAACCTGTAAAATGACTAGATTAACTTTAATAAATATCCATTGTTAGTATAAAATTGACGCCTTAGAAAAGCATGCGCCTCTGAAGCGTATGGTTATCTTTTACGTACGTTGTCATATGGCTGTCTCTTATACACATCGGGGGGGGGGAGGGGGAGGGGTGCGTTCTGTCTCTTATACACATCGGGGGGGGGGAGGGGGAGGGGTGCGTTCTGTCTCTTATACACATCGGGGGGGGGGAGGGGGAGGGGTGCGTTCTGTCTCTTATACACATCGGGGGGGGGGAGGGGGAGGGGTGCGTTCTGTCTCTTATACACATCGGGGGGGGGGAGGGGGAGGGGTGCGTTCTGTCTCTTATACACATCGGGGGGGGGGAGGGGGAGGGGTGCGTTCTGTCTCTTATACACATCGGGGGGGGGGAGGGGGAGGGGTGCGTTCTGTCTCTTATACACATCGGGGGGGGGGAGGGGGAGGGGTGCGTTCTGTCTCTTATACACATCGGGGGGGGGGAGGGGGAGGGGTGCGTTCTGTCTCTTATACACATCGGGGGGGGGGAGGGGGAGGGGTGCGTTCTGTCTCTTATACACATCGGGGGGGGGGAGGGGGAGGGGTGCGTTCTGTCTCTTATACACATCGGGGGGGGGGAGGGGGAGGGGTGCGTTCTGTCTCTTATACACATCGGGGGGGGGGAGGGGGAGGGGTGCGTTCTGTCTCTTATACACATCGGGGGGGGGGAGGGGGAGGGGTGCGTTCTGTCTCTTATACACATCGGGGGGGGGGAGGGGGAGGGGTGCGTTCTGTCTCTTATACACATCGGGGGGGGGGAGGGGGAGGGGTGCGTTCTGTCTCTTATACACATCGGGGGGGGGGAGGGGGAGGGGTGCGTTCTGTCTCTTATACACATCGGGGGGGGGGAGGGGGAGGGGTGCGTTCTGTCTCTTATACACATCGGGGGGGGGGAGGGGGAGGGGTGCGTTC